TTTTAAGTGTTACTTGTTTGAGTTCATGTGGCGTAAAATGATCGCAGGTGAAAATATGTGATTGTTGCGAACTTCCGTTTATTTTTCGCCAATGTCCCAGTTGTAATCCCCGTTGTCGATTTAGGTGACGATGTTTTCAAATCACTCGTGGATGCGATCAGAGTTTTGTGGCCTCCTGAACAGTGATCTGTAGTTTATTGTGAGTCTGTCAATCTTTGAAAAACGATGAATTACTTTCAATAAATCTTTAAGAGCACATGGACACGTGGAAAGAATTCTGAAGAGTCGGAGAGATCTCTGCTCTGTCGCAAAAATCCACACGTGATTTATGCAGCGGATTGGTATTACAGATGTACACGCCCTCTAGCCGCGTAGAAGTGCTCACTGAGTGTGAAAACCAATATTCTTTCGGTCGTTACAAAGCTCGAAGAAGTTCTTTTCAAAGCCACTATATCATTGTGATCGGGAAGATTTTCCCTGTCTAACGATTAAAAGTTCATGACAACAGAACTTTTATCCAATGAGAAATCTTCGAATGAGAAACAAAATCTCATCTTGTCTGGTATTGCCCTTTTTATAAAAAGCTGTTTGAGAAATTAAACATGCCATTGAAATTCACTTGATTTGGGCTATCAATAAACTACAGAAGCGTTTTGTAAAAGCAAGAATTACGTTTTCACCGAAGACATCAAGTGACGCTGCCATATAGAACATTACCTTAGTAATACATTGCATATAACAGCAGAGACTCCAGATATGGAACGACAGACCAAGGTCTTCTCTACAATAGTGTTACGTCCTCAACTCTCCGAGCACCGTAGTCATCGAAAATTAATGTTTATTCCCAGGACCTACTAGCTGTTAACCTCAAGATTTTTCAGTGATTCACATTTTTTTCTTTGTGAACCATAACTCGAGGTTGATTAATCTAAACATGAACCGCAAGGAGGAATGACTCATTATCACCGTGATATAATACAGTGTAAAAAACTGTCACTTTGTTGACGGAGGTGAATTATGAATCCATGTCATGCCTACACGATGGTCATCACTTGATTAAGTTCGGGATTTTTCTAGTGAAGTAATGAAGGTATTTAGCCGAGTGGAATATGGACAAATTGATCTTTACAAACTCCGACAAAGGCAAAAGCTCCAAAACGTCAAGTGTTAGGAAGAATTTTATTATAAATACCACGTGTTTGGCTCAAAATGAAAAATAAGGGAGTGTATAGGGTACAAGGAGTCATGATTTGATGACTATCTCAGTTTTCTCTCAAATTTCATGTCTTCGTCCAAAGGAAAACTTATGGATTTTGTCTCGAAAACGTTTTAGCGATGGAGCGATGGTCAAGACATTAACGCGGCAAACGGTAATCTTATCACCTTAGTTTTCCACTGCGAAGTGTACGAACCAGTCCTCAGAACCTCTCGTTCACCTGTCTGAAAAGTTTAGCTGGTACTGAATGTTTTCATTTTGGCAAACCACACTTTGCTTAGGAAATGCAAGTATTTTCAGATAGGTGTGCTTGACGATTATTCATTGACTACTACGAACAGATTTTTTTAGTATAAAGGTCACCTGATAGACACGTGTCAAGGTATACGATTGCACCCATTCTGGTATGTAATTCACCGCGATGACATCACGCCATGTTCCTTTGACGTTGACGTTGAAATGTAGTGGTTTCTTGAGAAATTTCTCAACAATTAATTGATTATCACTCATAATTTGTGAGTGCATAGAAATTGGGTGATCATAAAGCAACTAGCCCGCCTTCAACTACCGCCAAGGTCATAGCAAGGTGGAAAAGACGAGGCGTCTCCACTTCACAACTAAGATTTTTTCAGTATGAAAACGACTTTGATACTGTGGGAGAAATTAGTGCGATTATTCACAGATCAACTGAGAAGATATATTAGGTTGACCGAAGTAGTTGCGCTTTGAGACCGTGCTGAAACCGCAGTCACTTTTGTAATTTGCTTCAAACGGCGAGAATGATAGATCGACGTTGAGTCGCGCAATAACTCTTGTAGTCTTGAGAAGATCATATTAAACGGTCTCTTTTCCCATGAATTTTGATGAGGCTGATATAAAAGTATTTGCGAGTGTGCAACATTTTCTTTACGAAGCCTCCTCAACAGTTTATTTCGAGTGTTCAAGACCACGCTCAAATTTTTAATATATAGATATAACTTGAGCCAAGATGTCATGTGGTGTGTTATGTGCTCTTGTACAACCCGATACACGTGCTGCTGCCTTGCGCCTCATCAGCCGGGCAGGCTCTTCGTCTTTAGCCAATTCTCTCGTGAGCCCTCACATCCCACTATAAAGAGCAAGCGACGACGAACGATTTACACAACTGCCATTAAGTGAAAAATCACAATATCAGCAATTTTCGACACTCGATTGCTTATGTTGGTATTTTTGAAATAGCATACTGTTTATTTCGAGTGTTTCATTAAAGCTACGCTCAAACACTCGAAATAACGGTATAATAATTTCAAAATACCAACCATAAACAATAAAGTGTCGAAAATTGCTGATCTTGTAATTTTTCACTTGATAGCGGTGTTGTAAATCGTTCGTCGTAGCCTACCTCTTTATAGGGGGATGTAAGGGGCCCCGAGAGGATGGCTGCAGACGAAGGGCCTGCCCGACTAACAAGGCCACAAGGCCGAAGCACGTGTGTCGGGCTGTAAAAGAGCCTCTTAATCCACCGCTCACTGTAAGTTCGTTAGCAGATCCTACCAATATCCATTCGTTAATCAAAAATAAATATAAAATGAATAGTAAGTAATGCACCATTAGAAATAAGTCATGAAAGGAGAAATGCGCATTGAAATTATACATTACATAACGACTTTAATGAAGAATAATATCCAATATCAAACGGCGCATTTCAACAAGGCATCAGCCGCAATTACTTTTTCACCAACCGGATAACATGCTATCATAACAGAGTATGGATGGGAGAATGATGGAAGAGTTATGTTCTGATGATGAAGAAATGACAACAACATACCTCTTTCTCGCTTACGATCCGCCTGAAAGTGTTTCATCGTCACCCATATACCAAGAATATAAGTTTAATGCGGAACATTTTACCTAATTAGTGAATGGTTGAATTAAAACATACCCAAGTTTGAAATCACTAGGCGGCAATGCTGAAAGTCCGAACGTCTCACTTTATTGGCAATAAGCACTATTCATACAATCAGAAGCTCACCATGGGTGGAAATAATTTGAATGTTTCTATCACTACAGTCAGTTTCATTCAATATAAACAGCCCGATCTGTAATTAGGAACTATGTAGATAAATGTCGAACACAAATAGAGCAGATTCATGCTCTTTTTTCATCAACACTACAGTATTGAATAGTTGCGCTTTTCGTTGCGCTAAGATTTGACTTTACACTGGATGAAACAACACTCTGTTCGTCTTATTTGTAACCATTTTAGTCATTTAAAACGTATAATAATGTCTGATTTTCATCGCAGTTATGAAGTCCAAGACATCATGTCGTTTAGTTCCGCAATTTTCTGCAATTCGCATGTTCTTATTGCGATTTCCGTTACACGAATTGGTGTGCTTCGTGTTTTGAGGAACTTTTATAATGACTGGAACATAGATGACTTATGTGTAAAACGAACAACATATCCTCATGGCAGTCACGCTTCTGTCAACGTATGTTCTAGTAGCTTATTTCGGTGCTTTTCCGTTATCTCGACCCTGTTTGAGATCTTCGTGAAAAGAGTATTTTTTGCTTTTGTAAAACTTTTTGCTAACCGTTCGATAGTTCAAATCAATAGAATTTGAATAGTCTATCTAGTTTCTCAAATGACTTGTTTTCAGTGCTCTACCAGTCGGAATAAAATTTTGCTTTACATTATAAATTTATAGCCTGATAGAGATTTTTTATGATTAAACCTTGATCATTAAATAGAGCAAATCTTGGTGATCACAAAAGTGTGTTTGTTTTTTTAAGATGACTTCAAAGAGCGCTGAAACAGTCGAAAAAAATATATTTCGCATTCGGTAAGCACTTCTTGTCTGCTAAAGTGTGCATATCAGATGTAATATTAATGAACGTGACACGAATCACATGTGAATTTTTGATGAATATAGGATTGTCTCTGATGCTTCCAAATTTTCTCTGCACGTTCATAGGTTTTCTTTTGGAGAAAAGATTTATAGGAAACATTATATTGTGTTCCAAGTATTGACACACTCACATCAAAATAAAGATCACTTATAGGAGGTTAGAAAACTTTTTGCACCCGAGAGTGATTTTAAAAATAGTTATTTCGGTCCTTGTCTGAGCTGTGGTTCATGCCAATATTTTTCTTGAGCTATGGTTCACTTGCGAGCTGTGGTTAATGTCAGGACTTTTCATGCACTGTTTTATCGACGTTGGCTCTTCAGTCCAACTGTGAGGGAAAGGAGGTGCAGTAACGAACGGAGGACAAGTGTTTTCAAAACAGTTTCCGACTCTAATATTGATCTTATCGCGACAGCTATGCTCATAACATTGCCAAACAATTTGTAAACAGAACTGAAACATCATTCGGTGACTTTCTTGTACAGACGTTTGGACTGGAACACGATGTGTTATTGTAATAGCATGACGGCTTCTATTTCGGTGGCAAGCAAAGCAAATGCTCATGATCAAGTGAACACGATGAGAAGCAGTTGACTTGCAATGACTTATTCAATGTGGCGAAGACAGAGATGGCTCGTTGGTCTGGTACCTATGTTGCGAAATCCCATCCACATACCGCCAGTCCGTGGTCAACTAGCGTCATTGCTGTGATGCCCGACACCTAATTTTCTTCTGGCTGCTACAGTTCACTAAGAAGTTCTTGAGAAAAACCAAATATATCACTGAAATTGGCAGAATTTAGGCTAATACTCAAAATCTCTAGTATTTTTACTGCTTTTTTCGCAGTGTTATGATGTTTCGTATATATCTAAAAGAATTAAGTGGTGAGCAGAAACACGGTCTCAGGCGGGAATCGAACCCGCGTTTTATCCATACTGGGGATGCGTGCTACTATCACTACACCATAAAGGCACATTTGCACCACCACTCATTCTTCAACATCTCTATGTTAGCAACATCTATACATCTCTATACTGTTGTTATGTTTTTACTTCTGAACCGCT